ATCACGGCGGCTGCACGGATGACCCAACCAGGGACGTTCCCCTCTCTCTGCACGGCTCTTCCTCCTTTACCCAGTCACAATGTAAAGTTAGGTTGGGCTTGCCCGTCTTATCTGGCCCCATCTGCCTCTCTCCCACTGGGTCATGAAGAATCACTTTATAGCCTCCCAGTTGAGCTAGAGGCCTGAGCCTGAGCCTCTCAAAGTGATAGTGGTTCATCCAACAGCCCTGAAACCTACCAGGCTGTCAACACATGGTCAGGGGCGCTGACTAGTCAAGGTTCCTTGGTGAGGGCCTGCGAGGATGCTGGGGGCTGGCGTGGGCGTTGGGGGAAAGGATGGAGCAGTCTTATCCATCAGTGGAAGTGAGGAAGAGGAATGGGTCTGTCCAATGTATAGGAAACATGGAGAAGTTGCCTGTGGAGAATCTGGAGCCAGAAGGAACTGGGGCCTCCCTCTGTTTTTACCCTCTTATCCCACCTCTTCTCCCTTCCTTCTCTCTCTCCCCAGGCAGGAAAGGGGGTAGGGAAGGCTTCCTGGGGGAGGCAACATCTGAAGGAAAGTCCAACTGAATGTCTGCCTCCCCCATTCGAATGTCATCTTTTTCTGCCTCTTCTGTAGCTCAGTTGCACCAAAGCCATCCTGATCTCCGCTTAAGTGCCGTGTGCCCAGGCTGGGTGACCCTGGGGTGTGCCCTGCCCTGCGTTTTCCTGACTGTGCACCTTCGTTCACTTATCTGACACCTGTTGGGCATGTGTCGTGTGCCAGCCCTGGGGTTCCGCCCTGAATGGGATGGACAGCCACAGGCAGGCCCCGTGGAGCTGGCCACTGGTGGGAGAGGGACAGAATGCTCTAGTAGAGCAGGTCACGTGACTGGTTATATCACTGCAGAGCGTAAGGTGCTGCTACCCTGTGCCTCAAAGAAGGAGGGGCCGATGTCCGACACCCCGAACAAGGCCTGGCCTTGTTGTCTGTCTACTGTGGGTCGTGCACAACCACCTTTAAAAAAAAAATCCTAATGACATAGAATAGGATAAAAAATAAAATATCGAGTGCCTTCGCGTAGGAAGAGTATTTTGGCCTCAGAGACTTTGGCTTCAGTTGTGCACGTGTGCGTGCACCTGTGCGTGTTGCATGTCACAATGTCAAATGCATTTCTCTCCGTGGGTCACAGTGGTTAAGGGCTATGGTGAGCCCACTCACTGGTCTACAGCAGGAGGAGGTCTGGTGTCCGGGTCTAGACATGCATCTTGGAGTCAGGCTACCTGGGTTCAAATCTCAGCGCGGCCATTTCCCAGTGGAGTGATGTTGGGCAAGGACTCCCCTCTCTGTGCCTCGGTTTCCTCCCTGCAAGTGGGGAGGATTCGTAGCTCCCCGCAGTTGGTGGGAGTGAACATTGAACGGAACAGAGTGGGCGAAGGCTTTAGCACAACGCCCAGGGCAGTCACTGTCATGGTTATTGTTGCCACCATGGACAGGAGAGGCCTCAGGCCTGCCCCTGGGGTCCCTAGGTGGGGCTGGCTGACAAGCGCCCTTCACTTCCTGCCTTGAAAGCTCTGCCCCAGGTGACCACGAGCCCTGAGCTGAGGGGCTGGATTGGGTGTCATCCCTTTCATAGCACTGACAGCAGTTCCCAAGGGTTCCTTGAGCCCTGTCCAAGACACCTCATTTCTGAGGAGAAGAATCTGCCTGGCAGGTTGCATTTGCAGTTTGCATCGGCTCACCAAACTTCCAAATCTAGTGGGAGAGACTAACGAGGACAGGGCACTTTGGTAAGTGGGGGAGGGGAAGCCCAGGGGGCTGTGAGAGCCTAGAGGAGGATGCAGGGAAGGCTTCCTGGAGGAGGTCCTGTCCAGCTGAGACCGGAAAGCAGAGAAGTTAGCCACAAGGGAATGGGAAAAGCTGTTCAAGGCAGAGGGTTAGATGTGCAAAGGCCTGAGGGGAGGGAGAACGGGGCATGTGAAGGGGGAGCTGCAGAGTTCGGGGGTCCCAGTGCAAGTGGTGGTAGCAATATGAGGTCAAAGCGGTGGGTAGAGGTCAGGTCAGAGGAAGAGTGGTTTCTTGCAGGCCGGCCTGCAGTCAGAAGACTTAGCTTTCTCAGATGCCACACTCCCCGCCAGGATGATGTGCTGTGTTTGCTGGGCTGGGCCGCAAAGGCTGTTTAATCTTCCCCATGGACAAGAAGAGTCAGCTCTGTCCTCTTTTGGACCAAAGGGCTTTCTGTACTTGGTGGTGCTCTATAAGGGCTTAAAATAGAAGCCCAGAAGCCAGGTGTGTGGTGAGAGCTTAAAGCAGAGAGGGAAGAGGAAGGGGCCCAGCGTGCGGTAGGTTGTGAGCGCCCACCTGGGGGGTGTAGCCAAGTGGTCAGAGCTGCAGCACGCCCGCCCCATGCCAGGCCCTTTTTCTGTTTCATCCCCTCTAAACCATCAGGACGAGCCTTCCAGAAGTAGCCTCCCACTTCACAGATGAGGAAACTGAGCTCAGAAGGGTCATGAGACCTGCCTTGGGTCAGGCAGCTAGGAAGTGGCAGAACAGAATTTGATCCCAAGCCTGCCTGACCCCAGAGCCCCTTCCCCCATCACTATGGGGCGCTGCCCCCTGGGGCTTCTTGGGGCTGCTGCCCCTTGGCCTCATCCTGAGCTCCTGAGTCCCCCCTCCCCACAAGCTGTCCTTCCTGCAGGCACACCTTCTTACCTTCTCTGTCCTGGGAAGGTGAATCGCCTCTGTCTCCAGCAGCCAGGATGATGCTGCCCAAAGAAAAGGTCCATCCACCAGCCCCGCTCACCTCGCCCCAGGCCTGGAGACTCTAACTAAAAAGGTGGAATCCTGCCCTGGAGGAGAAGGGGTGAACTGGAGCTCTGCACCCCTTCCTCCTGCCTGACTAGGGCTCAGGCTCCTGATGTGTCTGCCTGGTAAAAGCTGGCCTGTGCTCGGCCATCCCCACCCCCCACTGGCAGGGGTCACCATGCACCCACAACCTTTCCCCTGAGCCCGGCTGCTACCCAGAGCTCCAGGCAGCCCCTACCAGTCGGTCAGCAAGGGCCTGGGGCCAGGGTGAGCGCCCTTTGTCACCCTGCACCCAGGCTTTCCTGCAGGCCAGGAGCATCCTGTCCCCCTGGTGTGCTGTCATTGTTAACAGAGTTGGTAATGGCACAGGCTGGGGGCCTCCATCCCTGGGTCTGAGTCTTAGCTCTGCCCCTTATGATCCAGACGAACGACTTGACCTCTCTAAGCTTTGATTCCCTTTTTTGCAGAAAGGAGATAGTGATGTTACGTCTCAGGCCTGCAAAGCCTCTGACAGATAGTGAGTGCTCACAGGGGGCACCTGTTATGATTATGTATTCACTAGACAAACAAGCCCCTGCTCGCTGCTGGGCCTGGTGCTCCCAAGGGAGACAGACACAAAAGAATAATAATAACCACTAGCTTGTATCACTCAGCCAGGCTGTGCCAGACACTGTTCTCAGCAGGTACCTGCATTTAGCCCTCAGGACAAGCCCTGTGAGAGAGCTACTATTTTTAGTCCCATATAACTATTGAGAGAACAGAGAGGGAAAGTAGCTTGCCTAAGGGCACACAGCTTGGGTAGTCCAACATGATTCCCACTAGAAGGAAGCAATGTTGATGTGGGATGGATGACTGCCAGGTCAAGACAGGGGGTCAGGTGGGGGGCATTTCACATTTGCCCTGGAAGCCTTCATAGTATTGAGCAGAAACTTGTGAGCATTTAGATCTGTCTGGCAAATTTCTTTTCAGTTGTTCACCTACTTCTGAGGTGGTTTATCTCACATCCCACCTTTAGGCATGGCAGGGTAGGGCCACTCTCCCGGTGGCTTATGGGGACTCCAGCTGACATTCCCAAAGTCTGATGTGTAGATCTCCTTTCAACCCCCTTTCAAGGCAGGCCAGGGGACGACTGATGTCCTGAGAGTTTTCTGGAGAGCAAAGCAAGGGCCACGTCAGCCCCAGAGGAGCAAAGGATCCCCAGCAACATAGCCTGGGGACCCTTGGGACCTGAGAGCTGCCTGCAGATCCATGAGGCAGGGGAGCAGACTTGATAGGGAAGGGTACTGTGGACCGAAAACAGACATGACCAGACGTGTGCAGACATCACATGAGATTTCAGCTCAGTCAAAGGAAGAACTTTCTAACTGTGGAAGCTATCTGGAAGTGGAATGAGGGCAGTGGGGGAGAAAGTACCCTTTGTCAGAGTGGCATGGGTGTTTAGCCCAACTGGGACTTGACATGGACATTGTAGAGGCAACTAGAGCATCAGATGATCCGGGATGAATTGTCCATTAAGGTGCCTTTTGATCCCGGGGTCTTAATAAGAAGTGCTAGCCAGTGCTCATCTGCTGAACGCGTGGAGGGCCCTTCATAATCTCTCACTTTTCTAATCCCCCTGCCAGTTCTGCATGTTGGGAGGCATTAGCCCCATTTTACAGATCAGGAAACTGAGGCACAGAAAGATGAAGCCACCTGCCCCCTTCTGGGTCTGTTCCCTCCCCTGTGACCTCCCAGCCTCAGCAATTTTCCACACTTAGCAGCAGGTACTTCTGAGCAGCAGCCATTCTTGGATATCAGTGCCAGCTCGCTCTCCTCCCTTCCCCTTCGTTCTCCTTATTACCAGGACTCAGGGCAGCTCAGAGCTGGCCTCTTGTATCACCTCTGGGCAGAGGGGAGAGAGTTCTTTAATGAGTAAACCATCTGGGGATACGGGTGGGGTGGTGGTGTCTGGGGCAGTACTGGCAGTCGGCACAAGGCCCACAGCTATTAACAAGTGTGTTCTGTTTACATCCTCAACATTACCCATTGTTTACATCATAATTATATCCCTCAGGCGCGTGTTTTCTTTCCTTTTCCCCAAGGCGATGCCCACCCCTCTCATAAATTCCGAGAATGCTCAGAATCACCACGTCCCACCTCCCAGTTGGCAGATCAGGACTCTGAGGACAAGAGCCTTGCGAAGGGTCACCCAGAGATTACAGGTGGGGTCTTTGGCTGGAATCCCAGGAGAGATGGTGGAAAGGGCACTGGTTTTGGAGGTAGTCTCATGTTCAAACCTCAGTTCTCCTCTATGTAAGCTAAGTGACCCTGGGCAAGTCACTTGCCCTCTCTGAACCTTCATTTCCCATCTCTAGGATGGGGAGAATGATGGCGACCCCCCTCATGGGGTTGTGATGAGGAATAAATAGGAAACTCCATGAGAAGTCTGAGCCAACATGAGATGGGGGCTCTTTAAATGCGCATGTCTCACCCTCTTTGCCAGAGGGGATGTTGGATTCCTTGAAGGCAAGGAATCTGTGCTCTTGAAATTGATGAAAAGGAGAGGAGCAATAGGACCAAAGAGTCCTGCTGGGTCTCACCTCTCAAATGCCTGCAGTAGATTCCTAAAGTACTGGCTGGCTGGCTAGGGAAGCAATTCCACATAATGGTTAAGTGTGTGCATGGCTTTGGATTCAGATCTGAGTGAAATCCTGACCCAGCTGTTTGCCTGCGCCATGACCTTGGGCCCTCCCCTCCTCATCTGGGCCTAATGTCCTCATCTGGGGAATGGGTTCGTGAGGATGTAGAGAGGCCCCAGTGAGCCAACAACTCTCAGATCATCAGAGCTTAGGACGTATGATGTGGAGATTCTTATCAGGACTCCTGAATTTGCATTTCCAGCATTCATCCTTTACTTCTTGGGTCAGGGGCAGAAGCCCATGCAGACTTCCTGCAGGCATCCTCAGTCTATACTCACTGGCTTTTGGGAGCCCTCAGACATTTGGAGAAAGGCCAGTCTGACAGATGAGGGGGAGAGGAAAAAGAAAGCTGGATCTTTGGAGAAGGAAGGAGAGTGGGAGGGGCACCCTTGAGTCACTTCTCTGTGGGCCTCAAAGCCAAACATGGCAGGGAAGGAATCTACTTTAGTTGAGGACCTACTGTGTGCCAGACTCTGTTCCTTCCCTGTAGGGATAACTTCTACACTTTGCCCAAAGCACCCATCGCAGCTTCTTCCTAGCCTTGGGAGCCAGGCTGGTATGGTTCGAATGCTAACTCCGCCACTTCCTGGCTGTGTGGCCTTGGGCAGCTCTCCCAGCCTATCTGAGCCTCCCTTCCTCACCAGCAGTGGGTCTGGTAGCAGTCACCTCCTTCAGCACTGTCAGGAGGATCCCAGGAAGTCTGGTGGGTGGAGGGCCAGCCCCAGGCTCCGGATGGCCCCCTGGGAGGTCTGCCTCTCTGATCATGCCCCACCTCCAATCCCCTTTTAAACCTTGGGGACATTAGGCTCTGGGGTTCCATCCCCCTGCTATAATCTGCCACTGCGTTCCTTTTCTTAGATGTTGCTTGCTGTTCATCCCAAGTTCTGCCAACCTGTGGCCTTTGAGTTGCTCGAAACAGGCTGATGGATGACATCCACCACCACACCTGCCCCTCTCTGAGACCAAGCCAGGGCCTCGCTCCACCTCTGTCCCAGAAGGTGGCTTATGCCTCTTGTACATAGCCTACTTTTTTCTCGTAGGTCGGGGGTAAGCGAGAGACCTTGGGAGGGATGAGGCATGAAACAGGAAGGATGCAACCTTCAGTGTCAGACGGGACCAGATTCAAAAACAGGCACTGGCCTCACAGGCTGGGTGGTCTCTGGCCAGGACGTCCGCCTCTCTGGGCCTCAGTTTCTTCACTTGGAAGCCACCTGGCAGGGTGCGGCCACGAGTGAATGGGCCGTGTGGTGAGCCCCCGGCACACACTGGGAGTGCCACAGAGGTGGGACCCTCGGGGCCAGCAAACACCACCCAGCCGTGGGGTTTGTGAAGAGCATTTCCTCAGCTCCAGAGGTGAGAACAGTTGGTGTTCTAGGAGAGTTTCCAGCTGCTTTTGAGCCTGAAAAGCAGGGCCAGTGGACCTATTGTTTCAAAATTGGGACAGGGGCCCTGAAGGTGCCCATCTAGGGCTGAGGAGAGTGAACAGCCAGGCTTCTGGGCCCCACCCAGGCTGGGGGAGTGGCTGCTATCAGGGCAAAGAGAAGGAGAACGCTGGCCCATCAGCTGGCTTAGCAGGCAGCTGCCAGCAGCTACCTGGAGGAGAGGCAGGTGCCAAGGGACAGGACTGTGCCAGCGGTTAGAAGCTGCGTTTGAAACCTGGACTGGTTTTCCCGCTCCAGCTGTGCCGGATCATTTTGATAGGCAGGGAAGAAAGGAACGGGCAGTTTCTATGGGAAGACCCAGGACTTGAATCTCATTTTTCAGAGAGACGGATCCTCAGAGGCTCTTTCCCTTCTCCGAACCCTTCAGGGGCCCCCAGAGCCTTCTTGAGGACCTTAACCTCCTCTGCTAGGCCTTTAAGACCCTTTGTGTGTAGCTCCTGACTCCCTCTCCACCCTCCCCTTTCCCTCCTACGCTCTAGTCCCTGCAGTTCCCCAAGCGCGCTCGGCTTGTTCTCGCCTCCAGGCCTTTGCCTGTGCTGTTCCCTCTGCCTGAAACACGGTTCCCCACCCTTTATCATGCCCCACCCCCAGCCATTTCTTCCTCAGACTGCAGAGTGGCCCCTCTGAGAAGCATCCCCATGGCCCCAGCCCTCTGTGCTGACCACCCTGTGCAGTCATGGTGTCTTGTGTCCATGCCCCCTGCTGATCTCTCAGCTCTGGGGTCAGGGACTGTGTGTGCCTCCTCAGTGTGTGCGTCCCTGCAGCCAGTGCGGCCCTGGCATGGAGCAGATGCTCCTTAAATGTCAGATGAAGGAGGAAGTGAGGTACTTGAAAAAGAATGAGGGCACGTTCCCCCCCACCCTCTGCAGCAGTGGGGTCCTAACCCTGGGAGCCGGCGCTTCTGAAGTTGGAGCTTCCTGGGTCCCTTTATCAAGAAGAGACCTCGACCGAGGGGCCCAGCAGAGGGTCGGAGCCGGCTTGGGAATCCCAGCTCTGCTGAACACGCTTGGAAGGGGCGTTGGGATGACCTCACTCCCTGGGAACTCAGTGCATCTGAGCCCACTTGAGCCAAGAGGGCTGCCACTTAGACCTGGAAGGAGAGGGCTTTTCTCCCAACGAGCAGTGTCGCGTGACCTCCGGCCTCCCCCCTGGGCCTCCTTGCAGCTGCTGACAGGAGTGTTGTGCCTTTCCGGCTGCACTGTGCTGACCGGGTTCTGTTTGCAGAGAATAGGAGCAGGGAGGAGCCTGGTGGCGGTTTCCAAGTGTGGGCTGGCCCCTTTCCACCCTGGGTGCTGGCCGACCAGGCCTCTGAAACAGAGAACAAAGTCCTGTTAGGCTGGAGTCCGTCTGCTGGGTGCATGTCACTGCCCTTTTTGGCAGAGGTGAAGGAGGCTTGGTTATTTTTTTCTAATCCACTTTCAAACCCACCAATAGAAAAGTTACTTTCTGTTGCCAAAGGAGACTGATATCCCCGCCCTGCTTTGGGTGACGGGAAGCCTTGCCAAACGCCAGCCTTGCCTTTTCCTCTCTAAAGCCCGCGTGCGCGCGCACGTGCGCCCTGTTGCCTCCTACCTCTGTCACTTGAAACAGAGACTTGTTACTGAAGGTCCACAGTCTGAGGTTGGATGTTGTGCGGGTTCAGAAAGCCCCTGAAGTTGTACATCAGATTGTGTGAGTGGAGTGTGGGTGTGTTTCGGTGGGAGAGGGGCCGGTACAGCTGTCGTGGTGCTTAGCAAGGCACACGACCCCCGCCCCCAAAGGCCACAGGCGGCCGCCTTGGAGAGGGGACAGGGATGGGAGGAAGGGCCCGAGCCTGGCCCTCTCCTGCCACTGCCCAGCTTTGCTGCCTTGGTTTCCTCCTCTGGAAAAGGAAGGTGGTCAAACCTACCCTGCAGGGTTGTAAGAATGTAAACTCAGTCCCCAAAGGCCTGTGCCGGCACATAACGAAGGCTCAGTAAAAGGCTAGTTAAATCCTCTGGTGAGAGGGAGGGGCTAGAATAGACTGTCCTCGCGGTTGGCAATTCCCTTTCCCGGTGGAGCGGAATCTGATGAAAATTTCAGCCAGGATGCCATCTGCTGAACGCCAGCAAGCTGGAGGCCGTCATCTCGGCAGCCAGAGAAGCTGGAGCTGTTGCTTCCTGCCATCCTCCTGGCAGTAAATGCCATTTCCTTGGGCTCTTTTTAGATCAAAGGAAAGGCTGGGTTGGGGCGATGAGCGGGCATCATTCAGGGGTGGCACAGTGCACATTTGGGACGCTGCTGGGATGGCTTAAAAATAGGTCTCTGTCCTTGGATACCCAGGGAAAGTGGCCCTGGGGTTTTCTAGAGGCCTTTCCTGGCCAAGGTTACCAACCCTCTATGGGAGAAACATTGCAGGATATAATCCCCTGACCCTACAAGTAGCCATCTTCGACCCAGGAGTAAACCTTTTCTCGGCAAAGAAACTAAATAAGGTAACTAAAGGGTGTGGGGGTGGGGTGGGGGACCCAGTGTTAAGTGAACACCTACTACGTGCCACACACCGAGTCTGACCAGCTGGCCTCATTCATCCTCAGAGCAATCGTGCAGGGTGGAGATGACTCTTACCAGTTTTCTAGGTCTGGTTAGGGGACGGAGCAGAGAAGTTAAGCATGTACCTCAAGATCACACAGCTACGAAACAACAAAACCAGAATTTAAACCCCCATCTGCCTGACTCCAAGCCTGTGCTCTTTTTAACCACCTCTCACATTGAGATTTAGAAAATAAAAGTGTGGGAGAGATGGAGTGAGGGGCTTACCCAGGGGTTGGACCTGATGTTCCCTGCAGGGGAGGGAATGAACGTTTAGTGCGCATCCATCGTGTTCTGGGACTCCTGCTGGGAGCTTTCTGTGCTCTCATCGCCCCTCCCAGCAGCCTGAGATGAGGCTCTGCATTCACACACTATTCACAGATGGTGACTTGTCCAAAGGCCCCTCAGACAAATTAGCAGCAAAGCATGGGTTCGAACCCAGAGCCCGTGAGGGCCGTTCTAAAGCACTGATGTGAGTGGATCACAGAGCAGCAGCCCGCGGAGCAGTTCTGATGTCCCCCTGCTTTCCCGAAAGACTAGCCCAAGGCTGGCAGGGGCAACATTTGTTTAGCCAGAACAGAGCTCCCTCCTCCCTGAATACCAACAGCCACTCATCACCCACCCCCCAAAATCTGTACTCGTACGTTTTCGAGTGGGGCATTGCTTCCTTGACTAAACGCTGGAAAGACCCTTCCCTCTGGTCTTGGAGGGGCTGCAGCAGCCTTTGGTTAACCATGAGGGGTGGGCCAGGACTGTCCCCTCCTTCCTACACACAGGAAGAGACTACAGAGTCTCCCCTCGGTTCCCACCGCATAGAAACTCCTTCCCCCTGCCTTGTTCTTAGAGTCTCTAGACCCAGTTCCTGGCCAGAGAGAGGGAGGCACACCCGCACGAGGCCAGTGGAGCCCTGCCTCGCGTGGGAGGAAAGGGTCTGGTCCCTGGTGTGGGCTGGGGGCCCCTCCCTGGCAGAAGGTGACACCTCACCAGTGACAGGGTGTCCATTTAAATCTGGTCCTGGCACCAGCAGCCAGGAACCTCTGTGCCCATGGACTCAGCCATTTGCGGGAACAGCTGAAGTCATCTCCAGGAGGGGAACGGCAGGGGACATTCTGGCTCTCAGTGGAATATTCTGCAGTGGTGAAACAGAACAGTGAACGCTTGGGAGCCATGTGGGAAAAGATGCTTTTTATATAATGTTGAGTTAGGAAAGAAAAGGCAGGAGTCAAAATTAAATGTGGGCTCTGGTGGCAAGGAAGTTAGAAAAGGTACTCAGTACTACTTAGTGCTTAGTCCTTCTGTGCTACTTATGGAGGAAAGTCAGGACAGGAGGAAAGAGGGCTGGTTTGGGGTCAGACAGAGCTGGGTTCATATCTCCTTGTAGCCGCAGGAAGTTTTTTTTCCTGGAAAATAGACAGTAATCCTGTGGGTGAGGATTTGTATTAAGAATTAACTGCAACCTTGTATCACTTGTATCAAAAACATACGGCCCAGGACATGGCGCCTAGTGAGGGCACAGCCAGTGGTTCTTCTGTGGATAAGGGCCAGGCAGGATAAAGGCCAACATGAAAAATGCAACGTGAGTTAAGGTATGAATGTGGGGAGAAGAGGGGAAATTTTCTCCTTCTTCCCAAACTTTCTCTAATATGGCTGTAGTGTTTATTGCTGTAATTTAAATGACAAAGTTCAGGTTTTCCATTGACGTCCCTGAACTAGGATGTTCTCCGAGGCCCGTGGGGTCCGTGGCCACAGTTTTCTGTTTCACGTAGAGGCTGCTTTCCCTGAGCTGAGCTAAAAGCAGACGCTGGCGTACAATTTGCAGATTGCTTTTTGTTCTTTCATTTTGAGCATTTTCAATTTGTGTAAATAACACATCCTCTTAGAGACTTTTTCACTCTGGTTTTCTTTATCTCACATCAGGACTCTGGCCTCAGAGGAGGGAAAAGTAGTGTTTATCCCTCATTCCCTGAAGGAAGTTGGATCATATAATCAAAATTAAACAAATATGTAAACTTCGCTGGTTCCTTGGCTGCCTTTTATCCTAACATATAGCTGGTTTAGCAGGAAACATCCCCTTGTAGTAACAAAGCAGTATCTCGCCACACCCCAGCATCCATTGACATCGCCAGGCCACTCTGAAGGAGCAGATGCTTAGGATTCCCAAGCCAGTTTTGTAAAGAAAGCCTCTGATTGAGAGGTAAGGTTGGAAAAACAACAGTGATGGGAGCTGAGATAAAAATCATCAGATAAGGGTGGTTTGTGGTCTTTGGTGCTTTTGATCTCTAGTCCTATTTAATGTTTCCTGGAGAGGTTGCCAGCGGCGGGGACCTTGGAGAGAATCCGGCCTGTGAGACACAGGAGGAGACTGCCGCCCAGGGTTGGGTGGAGGGTACAAGGCCACAGCGTGCGTGGAGAACGCAGCCTCTGCTGTCCTGGGCGGCCTCTCCGGAAGGTTTACACCCGGGCAGTATTTCCCCCACGCGTCTGATTTTTGTCCTGCCGGAATTGCTGTCCAGTGGTCCCTTACTCTTATCTTTGTGGTTCCGGAGATGGCCCACAGCCTGGCTCTGTGTCCACCCTCCTCTCTGCCTTAGGGGCCCTCCCTAACAGGCAGTGCCGGCCCGCTCCACTGGAGGCCCCTAGCGGCTCCCTCTCCCCGTGGTGTGCACTCTGAGCCTCCCAGGCTGGCGTTCAGGGCCTTCCTGGCTGGTCCCTATGATGCGATGGCACCGTCACCCCTCACCCCTGCAAAGCAGTGGCCGCCCAACCTCAGATACCCTCTGTCACACCTACCGTAGTACTTACCCTCCCCTCCAAGTCCAGCTTCCCCCACCTCTGCCCCTAGTGTTCCCTCTGCCTGGAATGTAGACTCCCTTAAGACCTGGCTCTGTGGACATAACCCCCTGCCCTCCGGCCCCTGGCTGAGTCTGGGGTCTCCTCTGGGCCTAATAGCCCCCCAATGCCAATGCCTAATGGGGTCTCTATTGTTATTATCGGTCCCTAATGTTCATGTCTATTCATCTGTGTGTCTTCTCTTCCACGGAGAGACTCAGCTCTCCACAAGGGCAGGATTGTATCATCACCTGTGCTCCCTCAGTGCTTCACACCAGCAGATGCATCTGCAGAAAAGATGGATGGATGGGTGCATGCATGGATGGATGGTTGGATGGATGGATAGGTAGATAGAAGGATGTATGGATAGATGGGTGGATGGATAGATGGATGGATGGGTGGGTGGATGGATGGATGGATGGATGGACGGGTGGGTGGATAGATGGATGGATGGATGGATGGGTGGGTGGATGGATGGATGGGTAGATGGATGGATGGATGGATGGATGGATGAATAATGGACTGAGCATTTTGCCTGCAGCCCTCCTCCACCAGTTCAATGCCTAGCAGGCCTGCCTAGGGGTACAAGGAATCAACAGGTGGCCTCTGCATCCCTCTCCTATGTCAGGGGTCTACAGCCCAGCCCTTCTGTCCATCCTGTGTTGATTCCTAAACAGCAGAGAGAATAAGGTAAAATGGCTAAAAAGGCAGGACGGAGGTCACACAAACATGGCTTCAATTGAAGCTCTGCCTTTAGTGAAGCCAGCTGTGTGACTTCAGGCAAATAAATCAACCTCTCTGAAACACCATGTCTTCATCTGCATGAAGGGGATAATGGTAGTCCTTCCCTCATACGGTTATTATAAGGATTAAATGAGGAAATGCATAGTAAGTAACCAGGGATGGAGGAGGAAAGGTGGGAAGGATGATGCCCCCACCTCCAGATAGGGCCACCTAGGTTTGTGGCCAGTGTCCAGATCCTTTGAAAGGAGACTATCCCAAGATTCTCCAGGTCCTTTGGGGCAAAATTCCCCTAGAAATGAATTTGAAAGGTGTATGTTCTAGAAAAGCCAGCCTTACTTATAAAGAATGCCCTCCTCTTCTGTGGGTAAAGGGGAAGGGAAATCAGAATGTTGGCTTGGGTGTCCTTTGGACCCTCAGTATTATAATCATGTTATTAGTTGCTTATTAACCACATGCTCTGTGCCAGGCAGTATTCTAGGAACTTCATCCACATGTTCATTTAGCAGCTGTGTGAGTTAAGCAATGTCCCCATTTTACAGGCAGGGAAACAGGCTAGAGAAGTGATAGGATCTCCTGCATATCCACAGCCAGGAGGTGCCAGAGAGCTGAGATTCCAGGATGCACTGGGGATCCCAAGAGTGCGCCCAAATTGCCTTGCTTTTTAATAAAAATTACACAGAGAAAAGCAACCAAAGACTCCCCACTACTCCCCAAGAATCCAAGGCCGCTGTTCCCTTTGGAGGGACTTTGCAGCCCACAGGCGGCTTTTGGAGGAAGCCTCTAAGATGTGGAGGGATTTGATGGGGATGGAGAAGTCAGTTGACCCCAGCCTGGCTCTTGTGACCAGCTCATTGGCGTTGGCCTGTCTGGGAGTGAAACAGCTCTGAACAGTTTCAGAGGGGCCTAACAGTTTGCGAGGGCGCCTAACCCTCCTGCTTGTCTCTTCCCGCAGACTCGAGCCCGCCCGCGCGCCTCCTGGCCACCCGGCCTTGCTGCGGCCCTGGCCCGGAGCGGCGCCCGGTCCTGGGCGAAGCGCCGCGTTTCCATGCACAGGCCAAAGGCAAGAACGTGCGGCTGGACGGCCACTCGCGCCGGGCCACGCGGCGCAACAGCTTCTGCAACGGGGTCACGTTCACGCAGCGGCCCATCCGGCTATACGAGCAGGTGCGGCTGCGCCTGGTGGCCGTGCGCCCGGGCTGGAGCGGGGCACTGCGCTTCGGCTTCACGGCGCACGACCCGTCGCTCATGAGCGCCCAGGACATCCCCAAGTATGCCTGTCCTGACCTGGTCACGCGGCCCGGTTACTGGGCCAAGGCGCTGCCCGAGAACCTGGCGCTGCGCGACACTGTGCTGGCCTACTGGGCGGACCGCCACGGCCGTGTCTTCTACAGCGTCAACGACGGCGAGCCCGTGCTCTTCCACTGCGGTGTGGCCGTGAGCGGCCCTCTCTGGGCGCTCATCGACGTCTACGGCATCACCGACGAGGTGCAGCTCCTCGGTAGGTCGCGGCTCCCGCTGGCAGGGGGATAGGGCGGCGCCGCCTGGACCAGGCAGCGGGTCCCCGCGCGCATGAATGTGTATTTCTGTAACATTCACGAATACCGAGGGCTCACTTTGCCAGGCGTCTTCTAAGCAGTTGACACATTTCAACTCATTTCTTTCTGGCAAAAACCTACCACCCCCGTTTTACTGATGAGAGAACTGAGGCACGCAGTGGTTAAGTGACTTGCATTGCAAAGCCAGGATTGGAACCCACACGGGTGTGGTCCAGAGTCCATGGTCAGGCCCAGGTTCGTTCACCTGCTCCTTCGTTCAGTTCCGTGCTCACTCACTCATTCTTTCATTCATTCCTGTGCTCATTCCTTCACTCCCTTGTTCACTTGCTCGCACACTCATTCATGCAAGTATTTGTTCTTTTGCTCGCTCATTCATTCACTCATTCATATATTCACTCACTCACACGTGTTTATTCATTTGCTCATTCATTCACTCACAATCCATTTACTGGTACAGCAGTCAAACATATGGCCTAGTCTTCTAGTTATTTACAGTGCCCAGGCCGTCGGCAATATGTATCGAATCAAGGCCCACGGTTAAGGGGCTCAAGGTCCACTGGGGAAGCAGGCAGGCAAGTGTGGCTCTGGCTGTAACAGAGGAGGTGGTGAGAACTCATGGGGCTACAAGTCTGCTGCTCTTAAGACCTTATTTCTCTCTCTCTCTCTCTTTAAACTTTTTTAAAAATTAGGTAAAAGTCACATGACAGGGTTTCCCTGGTGACGCAGTGGTTGAGAGTCCGCCTGCCGATGCAGGGGACGCAGGTTCGTGCCCCGGTCCGGGAGGATCCCACGTGCCGCGGAGCGGCTGGGCCTGTGAGCCATGGCCACTGAGCCTGCGCGTCCGGAGCCTGTGCTCCGCAACAGGAGAGGCCACAGCACTGAGAGGCCCGCGTACCGCTTAAAAAAAAAAAGAAAAAAAAAAGTCACATGACAAAAAAGTACCATTTTAAAGTGTACAGTTCGGTGGCATTTAGTTGGCAACCATCACCTGTATTTAGTTCCAAGACGTTTTCGTCACTCCAAAGGGAAATCCATACCCATTGGGCTGCCACTCCCCATCCTCCCCTCCCCCCAGCGCCTGGCAACCATGGACCTGCTTTCTGTTTGCGACCTTAGCTCTTGAAGTCACAGGTGGCACCTGAGCCAACCTAGCCTCCATTTCTGGGGGAGCAAAAGGAGAGCAAGTTTCTCAGGGGACACAGCCCTATATGTCATTTACCTGCAGTGAACGCACAGATCTAAAGTTTGAGTTTTGACAGATTTATACACCTGTCCATAAGCCAAGAAAGTTCCTGCCTGCCCCTTCTGAGGCAGCCCCCCTCTCTCCCGGGGCAGCCGCTCTTCCGATTTTTCACTATAGATTATTGTGCCTCTTCCTGAACGTTACATGAATGGAATCATACGGTATATGCTTTTGTTTCTGGCTTCTTAATCTCAGCACAAGGTCTTTGAGATTCATCCCTGTTGATGGTATATCAGAAGTTTGTTCCTTTTTTATTGTCCAGTAGTATTCCGTGATACGGATGCACCACAGTTTGTATATCTGAATGTTTGGGTTGTTTCTGGTCTTTCAGCCCTGCATCTTGAGGGAAAACTCTGGCCCCGGGCTCCTTGCCTACCACCACCCACACCACCATTGGGCAGGGAGGGGAGATGTATACGTTCAGGCTCCCCAACTCTCCAGGAGAAGGAAGGCAGCAGAATTTCTGAGCAGTTAGGAGCAGAGGGTTGGGAGTCACACAGATCTCTACTCCACACCTGGCTCTCCACTTGCCAGCTATGTGGGCTTAGCCAGGTGACTGAACCCTCTCTGTGCCTCAGTTTCTTCATCTGTAAATTGAGTTCGCGATAGCACCCACCTCGTGGGATTGTTGGGCAGGGGAACATGAGATGGTGTATGAAAGGGATGCAGCACAGCACCTGGCACATAGAAGGCGCTCAAGAAATAACAGCTAAGAAGCAAGAACCTCTGCCCGTTTGCATGGGAGCTGAAGCACATGTCTGAAATCCAGGCTTAGGCAGACCAGATTATGAAGAGCTACCCACCCTCCAAGCTGGGGCCTTACTTGGGCATTTTAACTGTGTTGCCCCATACTCTTTTCCATGGAAGATTTTGGTATTTCACCTCCAGGAAATGTAGGTTTCTAAAAACCTCCTCTAGATCTCCTGTCACTCTTTTTTTGGAGCTGTTTATTCCTATAGAGCAGGAAAACAATCAGACCTCATTCACCTGTTCCCTCAGATAGCCCATGTCTCAGGGTAACAGCCGAGAAATCACAGCCACTCCATAATCAGTGCAAGTAGATTAGGATTTTAAAAAAATACAAATCGGAAGCAGCCTCTGATGACTTCATGAGACTGAACAAGCCTGTGGGGAGTCACGGACTCTTGCTCCTGTTCATTTGTTCAACAAGCCTTTATTGAGCCCCTCCAGCATCCCACGCCCCTTGGAGGGAAGGAGAGGGCCCACTGGAACATCAGTGGCAGGTGGCAGGCATGAGCCTGTTTCCTTATCTGCAGTAGTGCCTGCAGTGAGCTGGTTGACAGGGAGCAGCTAGCACAGGTGCCACGGGGCAATGTTCACAATTACATGCAGATGGGGAAATGAGATTAGAAGGAATGCTTTCTCTCCGTGATGGGATCATAGGTGAATTCCACTTCTTTCTTTATTACCTCTATGAGTTATCTTTTTTAATATATATGTAAAAAACCTTTTATAATCAGAAAGGGCAATAAAGTTATTTTTCTTTCTAAAGGTTATATGAGATAATGGAGAGGTTACTGACATGTGATCAAGGCTCAATAAATGTTTCCTTCCCAGGGAAAGAGGAAATTGACATTGATTGCATCGGGGTAAAGGGGATATGGGTGCTTTTCTTCTTTTTTTTCCCCCAAGTTATCAACAATGATTTATAATCAGAAAAAAAAAGTTATAATAAAAATAAGAAGAAAGCGAAACAGTCATGATTTTGTACGGTTTGAGCCTGGGTAATAGATACTCTGCTGTTGCCGGCACAACATGAGAACCAAAGAAATCCCACCATAAAGGGGGTCCCTCCCTCCCAGTTGCTGGAAGAACTGGGCTTCTGAGGGTGGTGTCCACAGTACCAAGTGGATAAATAAAAAGCAACTGATGTTAGTGTCATGCAAATTCCTCTGGCTTCCTTTTCCTCAGTAGGAACAAGGGGGTAACATAGTTCCCTCAGAGGGTCTCAGCTGTGAAACTTCAGAATAGGGACCCCTCATCCCTCCCTCACCTCTCTCAGACCACACTGGATAGACCCTCAACACCAAGCTAAAGCAGCATCTGGGGAAGGTTGTCAAGTTTAGGATGCCCGGTTACATTTGAATTTCAGAAAAATGATGAATAATCTCTTTAGTACAAGTATACCCCATGCAATAGTTGTGACATCGTTATAAAAGAATTTGTTTTCCTTTTTTAATTTTGATTTTATATTGGAGTATAGTTGATTTACAATGTTGTGTTAGTTTCAGGCGTAAGGCAAAGTGATTCATTTATACATATATCCATTCTTTTTCAGATTCTTTTCCCATATAGGTTATTACAGAATATTGGGTAGAGAAGAATTTGTTGTTTATCTGAAATTCAAATGTAACATGGCATCCTATATTTTATCTGGCAACCCTCATCTGGGAAGTGTCCTCCCCATCTGGTGGGACAGGGGTGCACTGTATTTGCCCTGGAACTTCAGCCAAAATTAAGTCTCAGAAACAAAAAGAGATTCGTAGGCCTTGCCTATTTCTCTTACCTGATGAAACTGTGCTTTCAGCCCAGCATCCCTCCTGCAGGGGGGTCCAGCTGCAGCAGAGAGCGCTGCTTCTCTGTGGCCAGACCCTCAGGTGCCCCCTCTTGTGACATTCAGTCTTTCCTCAAGATAGGACGACTTAGCCCCTTTTAGATAAAGAATCCAGGGCTTGGAGAAGGGAAGTGACTTGCTTGTGAGTGGCAGAGCCAGGATTAGAACCCTTTAGTTCAGTGGTTCTCAGCCTTGGCTGTACATTGAGGTCACCTGGGGGGCTCTGAAAACCCCACTTCCCAGGTTGCACCCAGATCAATTAGATCAGAACCTCAGGGAGGTGGTGGTGGTGGGGGGGTTGTGGCTCCCAGGCATTCAGATTTCTTAAAGGCTCCTCGGGTGCTCCCAGGGTGCAGCCCGGATTGTGATCACAATGATCCTCTTTGCATGGGTGCCTGTCCCTCCTCCCTGCCTGGTACCAGGCTGAGCTCTTCAGACCTCTCAGTTCAGGGCATGGTATCATCACACAAGCCCCTTCTCTTGTTTTGACTCTTCTGCTTCATCTCCGATCCCCGCTCCCATTCGCGCCTTTCCCTGCCCAGATAAGCGTCACTCTGATGTTTGGCAGCCCTTGGGCGTGTGTATCTTTTAAAAATATGTAGAGGGCTTCCCTGGTGGCGCAGTGGTTGAGAGTCCGCCTGCCGATGCAGGGGACGTGGGTGCGTGCCCCGGTCCGGGAAGATCCCACATGCCGCGGAGCGGCTGGGCCCGTGAGCCATGGCCGCTGAGCCTGCGCGTCCGGAGCCTGTGCTCCGCAATGGGAGAGGCCACAACAGTGAGAGGCCCGCGTACCACAAAAAAAAAAAAAAAAAAAATATGTAGAGCTGTTTTGTATGCATAGGTAGATGGTATTGTGCTAAGGATCTTATTCTAGTTTTCTTTTTTCACTTGCCCCATTTTAAGATTTATCCGTATCTGTCTCTCCGCTTCCTTGTTCTCTAATGGCTTCCCGCTTTGATGGACACCTGGGTTGCCCCCATGCAAACTGCATTGCTTGATACATTCTCCCACAGGGCTGCCCTGTGGCTGCTAGTTTACTGTTCTCAGGGGCATCGACGAGGATGGGCTTACTGGGGCCTGGAGTGGTCCATCCTGAGAGCCTTGATTTCTCTGGATGCTCCAAG